AAAAATAAGAAAATGTATTAATTATTATGCCTTTTTGTCCTTTTTTTATCTATTTATAATTTATTTTGTATACTAGTACTTTCTATGTATTAACAGGACTTATTATACTGGAAAATTATGGATGCAGATATTTAGTCTTACAGTTCAAAAATAATGTTCTTTATTACAGGTGAACTAAATAAAGAACATTATTTTTGAACTGTAAGACTAAATATCTGCATCCATAATTTTCCAGTATAATAAGTCCTGTTAATACATAGAAAGTACTAGTATACAAAATAAATTATAAATAGATAAAAAAAGGACAAAAAGGCATAATAATTAATACATTTTCTTATTTTTTTATGATTGTATACGTTCCTTTGCTCATTTATAAAGATTAGTGAGATAAAAATATAAGTAATAATTAAGAAAAATTGCAAAGTTAAACCTATCGCTTCCGTTAAAAGTAGAAATACCGATAGACGAATATTACTTCTCGAATTCGAATAACCAGATCTCCAATATTCGAACTTAATTACCTCATTTAACTTATTTAGTTAATAATACATTTAATATATATTATTTAACTTGTTTTATTTATATGTACAGTACATATTTAAAGGCACATTAATTTGTTCAAAACATTAGTTAATATTATATGATCTAGTTTCAATGGATTAATGACTTAGAGATTTCCAATGAAATTGGAGAACTTGCTGTCTTGTGTATTATACTCTGTGGAATTAACGGATTAAAGATAACTAGACTTCATCTTTGAGAAATTTCGTTTTTTGAACTTTCAAATTTGGATAATAGAATACCTAAAGGTTTCTATTTTATCTTAAATGGGGGAATGCTCAAGGCGCAGCTGAGAGTTTCTCCCGAATAAANCCTAAGATTTCCATATCTGGTCTTGTCTTTCATCTATCTAACTCCGTTCTTGAGATTTAAGGAAAAGCAGACGGATAGACGACAGTGGGAATTTATAGGTCTACAATTTTTTTTTTTCAAATTTGCAGCGCAATGAGTAGTAATAGATTTGATAATCGGATATAATGGAGGATTGCAAGGATCACAATTCTCGAAAGTTTTCTCAATAGAAACTGTGATGTTTCGATCCAAAGTACAGCATTTTCTTCAAAAAGAGAAAACAAAAGAAAGAAATGATTTCGCAACTTAAACTTAAAATTAAAAACATTTGGGTAATTATAAGTACTTTTTATTAACACGTGCAAGATGATTGTATTACGGACGGTCCGATTAAACACATTTTATCATCATAAATGTTGTATAGTAAGTATAATGGTATCGAAACTCATCGGGACTTTGCACGTTTCATCAATTTTAAATAACCGACAGTAAACAAAATTATAATTACTTTTGTAGAATTTACTTATTTGATACGGAAATTTTTATATAGAAAATAGTAATAAGGATAAAGTTAGGCCAGTGTTAAATATAAGTTAAAACATAGAACTTACTCTGAGTTTCTTATTTGTATACGAATGCCGTATAAAGTCTATAAAGATTTGCGTAAAGAACACTATTTATAGTGTTTTCGAGATAAAATTTATAAAATTAAAGTATATTTGAGTTATCGAAGTGATTTTTTTTTAGTGGAAACTTTCAAGGACGGTGTCGACGGTCGCATATTAATCTATGGAAAACATCTGTCCAACGAGGAAAATAATTTATAAAACATCTGTCGACTGGTTCCTGGGAAAAATTACAATTTAAAAAGGAAATAATTCAAAGTGTAAATAACCGATTAATCGTGTTAATAAAGATTATTTCGTCTTTTACTAAAAATAGAGAGAATGTTTTATACTCTTATGTCACAACTCTTTTTAAACAAAATTCTTTTCAATATTAATATTTTGTGAAATATTTGTTATAAATTAAAAATTAAATTGAAGACAAAGTCTGTTAAAAAAGGCACCACCGTTTATTCACTTTCAATATTCCGGAATACAAACTTTTGACGACCGACCTTTAATTGTAGGCCAAAATTAAACTGTATTTTTAATTGGATATTTTTTCTTTGTTTTTAAGAGAAATTTTAATTTTGACAGAAGTTTTTTTTGTGTGTGATCTTAAAATTACTTTATTCTAAGTAGAAAATAAATTAATAAATATTATTATATTAAGTCTGTGGAGATTTAACGATTATTATTCAAAATCTCCTGTAACGGCGTGTCAAAATAGAAAATCTTTGTGAGACACGTGTACAAAAAAATACTTTTATCGACAACTAGAAACAAATCGTAATAAAAACTATCGTTTGTTCAACCACGGAGTGTCGATAATCTGTATAGGATCATGGGCAGAGGATTACATGATTAAAATTGAAGATTTCGTGTCATCTTACCGGTGGTAGTTCCGCACTGAGGCGATGTGAAAATATAAGTGCATTGGATTAACGAAGATCGTATGTCAATGATTCTTCTTCTTCTTCTTCTTTATGAGTGCCAGAGAGAAGAAGAAGAAGAAGAAGAAGAATCATAAAGAGGAATGGGTGAAAATCCTGGATGAGGCCGTCCTTGAAGGACCTTGCTCATCCAGGATTTTCAGCCATTCCTCTCTATCTTGAGCCTTCCTTCTCCAGCAGCTCACACCCATCCTTCTCAATGTCAACGATATAAAACAAAATTAAAGCAAATGTATGATCAAAATAGAACAAGCACTCCGTATTTATACCGTGATATCAGGAGAGATGATAATTTAATGGCATTTAAATTACTATTTCTAAAAATAATTTCATGTAATAAAAAGAATTTGACAGGTATGAAGTCTCGTGTGCATTGTAATATGGATATAATGATTACTTCCAGGATCGTCCAGAGCTTATACGAGATCCAGGGAGAGCCATTTTGACTCTTAGCGGGCTCCTTTAGCATTTTTATTTTCTTTCTTTGAAATACGGATGAAATACGTAGAATATTTTCGGAATTAAACATTAATTTATAAATTATTAATTTAAAACTTAGAATAATAATTTTTATTTTTAAAAACCAAATACAGTAGTCTACCGTATTTAAGATTAAGAAAAGGTAAATATCTGTCATTAATGGATAATGTTCTAATTATATGAAATATTAAGACATTCGTCATAAAAAGTCTTTATTATACATACAGATTATCTAGAAATGACTATAAAATCTACAGATATGTTAATAAAGAACTTAACCCAAATGGCCCACCAGTGACCAAGCGGTCTTCGTTCCCTGAACACTGGGAGTTCGGTTAGTGGGTTCTCGCCTCGCTCGGAAAGGCTGGCTAGGAGTTTTCCGGGTTTTCTCCACGTCTGTAACGCCTAAATAGGGGCCAGTTTCCCTTAAAAAGACCTCCCGGAAGGCATCACCCTAGGCAGATCGCCCAAGTGTTGCGTTGCCATAACTAAACAAACAAATTTAACCCAAATAAATTCTACACATTATCTGCAGACAGTTAAAGAAATCTCTGAAACATAGATACTAAAATATCTATTTCAGATCAATTCTGCAGAATATCTACAAGTAATGTGTGATATTTTGCATTCAGTTTTAAATTATGTATACATAATATCACGTGATCTCACTTGATGTCATATAGTAACTGGTATCAAATAAAAATATGCATATCTGAAACAATTTTAATAATTCTAATAGTAATTTCATCAACTGATATCATTGATAATGATGAAATTATATTTTTACATATTTTCACTATTCTTCACTGAAGCTAGGAAAGCTGATACCATTTTATTCCACTAAAACTCTATAAATTAATTTTGTTTTCCTTAAAAAAAAAAACGGGTTAAATAACATACAATTATAACACACGCATTTATCTATAAAATGTGTAAGCCACAGCCTTTAACTAATTTATAATTGCATGCAGATGTCAAACAACTCGTCGGCATTTTAAGTGCAATATGAAATGTAAATTGATGAACAAATTACACGAGAAAGAATAGGCACCTCACACACAGAATTACCACTCTACTCTACTTCTTTACTCTGAGGTTCGGATTGGATTGGATCGATGGTATAAGGAGATTTGCCAAGAAAGATGTGTTTCCTAGATAGACTTTATTGGTGAAAAATTCGCCCTCTATTTAGATGTTAGACATGCGATGAAAACCCGGAAAATTCAACGTATTCAGTCTGTCGGTCGGATGAAAACCGCGACCAACTACCAATGTTAGGTGATTTTATTCAATTTTATCCACTCGGTCACTATCACCCACTGGTGATCCCGCATGTTCAGAAACTTGCGAGTTATAACGTCAAGTGTAAACTATAGTGTTTAAATAATCAGTGGCGACATAAGAGTTAGCGCCGCAATATCTAGTTCAGCAATCGGCAACCGGTGATCCGTGGACGGACCACAATCCGAAAAATTCCTGGGGACTTTTTCGGTCCGGATTCGAACTCGGGTCCCCTAGAGCGGGAGGCTGCTACCGTTGACCGCTCGGAAATCAGACTGATTTACGTGAGTGCTATTATCCGACACTCACGGGAATCACGATTCGAATTCTCAAAGTTTTTCACAATTAAGAATAAGACAGCCGGATGACCAATGGGTTCGATTAAAAAGACTCATTTAATGTTCATCGGTCAGAAAGAGGAAAACTTCGGGGCTCTTTTACAGAAATCACAATACGCTTCCATCTCGCCACCTCGTAGAGAATTAATAATATTTCACTAAATTAATAATCAACTTTTTACTAGATACGACTAATTTATCTCTACTAAATTTAATATCGACGCGATGATAATTTTACAACAAAATTAATATTATTTATTTAATTTTGTCTTTCGGAAGAATCGCAACTTAGAGAAAATAAACACGTAGTACAAAATAACAAAATGCTCCGAAATTCTTTAAATTGTAACATATTAATTTTTAAAAATAATTAATAATCATTAAAATAAAATAAATGATTAATTAAATAATATATAACAAAAAAATATTTTAATTGGATTTATAAAATATTTCATAGATGGCGGGAAATCGACGGTGGGTATAAATATTGAGTTTTTTTTCCTTTATTTTTTAACTTAATAATATTAGTGATTTTTAAGAGTTATTAAATGACGTGTTATTTTATAATAGGTCGGAGTGACGTTTACACGGTGATGACAAGTTAGTTAGATATCTGTATTAGCCGTAGAAGAAGATTGTTTGTCGACCGAGGTTATGTGAATTTGCGAAGAGTAAAAATGGAAGCCTATCAGACCTTTCAGCAGGAATATTTACAAATTCCTATCATAACCCGATCGTATACGACGGCTTGTGTCTTAACAACGGTTGCTGTGGTACGCTTTATTTACTTTCGTTCTTTTCCTCTTTAACTAACCGACACACGTTGCTCTTTAGCCGTAGCTGATTTGTGAGACCGTCGAGAAACTCGTTTGTGTGACGATGATGACATTTCGCTTAATGGGACGTGCTTTCGCTTATAAAATAATAATATCGTTGGTTAAACTTTACCTACGTGCACCGTCATGGTTGCACAGTGGTGACCCACGTTCTAACCTAACCTAACCTATTCTAATAAATTACCAACTTATTGGTAATTTAATAGAATAGATTAGGTTAGAACGTTTGGTAATTTATTAGAATAGGTGGTTAAATTCTACCATTGAACCCAGGTACCTAGGTTCAATGGTGGTGCTTCGGTTAAGTTAGATTAGATTAACTATATTTTTAGTAGACGTTTCCTTTTTTTCTTTTGTTCAAGAACTACAGTGAATCAATAACTAGTGACGTTAAATGCTCGGCAGCCTGCCGGTGGCTCCCCTCCGGGAGGAGTCCCCGTCGGGAGCATGAACGGTCGGAAGCGCAGCCATTGGGACTACCTAGAACCTAGGTAGACTTTGACTGAATAGGTTAGATTAGAATGTGGGTTCCCACTGTGCAGCCATGATGGTGCACAAATGTAAAGTTTGACCTTATTGTTATTTAAGTTTAAAAAATACGATTGTGGTGTGTGAAATCTGATCTCCTTTGAGATCATTATCCGTGTGTTGAGTTTATTATTTAGTCGTCCCGGTAGTGAGGAAGTTTCGTTTTTTGGATTTGTCAGATCTCCGTGGTCTGACACTCCACATCCTTCCCTTTGAAATTCCCTTTGAAATTTTTGCTTGATTTTTCGAAATCTTTGAATCCAACTCGGTCGTCCAGTCCGGTTTGTAGTTCCTCCTACTGGAGCCATTTGATTTTTTGTGCAGACACTTGTTGTGGCCTTTCTGCGGTTGCATTAAATAATTTGATGCGTTGCGTTTGCTTTCTTATGATTGTGTTCTCGTCAAAAGACATTAAGAAAGTCGTTTCTACTTGCGGAACTATGCCAGTGTCCAAAGCTGCCAGTGTAAACCCATGTAAAATCGATACCATAAATCTTAAGCGACCTAGACTTACATTCTTGAGTCGGTGAAGGACCGTCCCGTTCTGCCGGTGTTGTGCAGACGAGGCACGGTGATGGCCTGTCTGTGTTGCGAAATATATGCTTGGTATGTAAGGTGGAATTGTTTTCAGCTGCTTGGACTGTTTATGATGAAGTGTTTCTCATTAGCTTTATGGTAGTCTGGTTGATTAATTGAAATTGAGACCTTTTGTTTCTGCATTTTCACTATGTATGTTGGTATGTGTTGCTTTGATTTTTGATATGGGTGTATGATCTAAAGTGCTAAATGAAAAGCTTGGTAATTTGTTAGTTTTTAAATTTTTTTGTTTCATTAATTAAAGGTTGATGATGCATAAGATCCTAAATAAGTTTAGGTAACATTTGGAAATAAACTGACAAAAGTGCGTAGAGAAAAATATTTGAAATATTATTTGATGTTACTGGAATTTGCATTTTGACAGATCTTTCCAATGACTTTTCTTACTTTAATTAGAGATGTATATAAAACAGTGAATAAACTTAAAACTTTTTTCTTTTTTTACAGTGAATCATAAGCATATTGGAATGTATCCTTGATTATTGTCAATAAATTAATATGCTCAAGTTTCCAGAAAAATCTGTTTAATGTAGACCGGTCTTTCCAATGGGGCCGGTATTAATTAATTCTTTAGGCATTGATGATAATTTGAGAGGGATGGTCAATAAAACTTTGGGAATATAAAAAATTTATTTAAAACTATTAAAAATTTTACATAATTTCTTTTTGCTCTCAAATAAATTTAGGAAGATGCTTTTTAAAAATATATAGGAATGTTGCATATACAGTATAGTATATTTATATTAATAAACCAAACACACCTGATTTGTATTTGCCGAGTTATTTTCTTTATTCGAACATTTTCGAAAAGAAAATAACTCGGCAAATACAAATCAGGTGTGTTTGGTTTATTAATATAAATAGCTAGTATTGCTGAGAAGGTAGATAGACAGTATAGTATATATGAGGTGAGTCAAAAGTCTCTTGCATCCATTTAATTTTGAAACTATTGAAAATATATTTTGTTAATGGAGTTATAAAGGAAGTCATGTATAGAGAATTGAGTGGGTTGGGTTTTTGGTTGACCTTGAAAATTGCTTTCAAGGTCACTCATGTTGTAACTTTTTAATGACCAGAGATAAAGTAAAAGTTCCAATGACAAAATGAAAGAACATCCTTTAATTAGTCTAAAGCAATTTTCCAGATTCAAATAAATACATTCAGGACTGCATAATTTGTAACTTTAAACGTATGAGGAGTGACAGTGATTTTATTTTATGTGACCTTGAAAAGTCTCAAACCTCAGATTGGACTGGAGATTGGTCATGAGACTGGAGGAACAATTCTTGAACATTTTTCTGTAGTAATAGTTTCTGCAGAAACTATTACTACAGGTGATATAATAAAGAAATTTTGTTCTTTCCTGAACTAACTCTCATTGCTGTGTCAATCTTTAAACACCAGTATTAAGTCCTATTAATAAGTAAAGTACAAGTAGACAATTAACAATAACATTAGAATTTAAAAGGACAGTAAGGCTTTTACAATTACAAATTTTTCTTGTCTGTTTTAGTTAATCCTGGATCCAATATGAGTTGTGTAATTTCTTCTGCAGAACCTTTAATTTCAGTCAAAATTCATTTGACTGAAATTTGATCATTCAGGAATAAAGTTTTGCCAAACAGCTCTCATGTTGTTGCAATTTCTCTCCACACTTTGTTAATGTTTTCAAGAGTGTTTTTTTTTACTAAAATTTTCCCCAAATTTTATTATTTTTCTATTGTTTTTTCAATTAATAAACATGTATATTGAAGAGCCTTAATTGAATTCTAATGAGATTTAATTTGAAATAAAACTTTGGACTAACAGTTTTGATCTACAAATAAAGGTCTTCTTCAGGTTCATATATTTGATGGTAGAATGCTTGAATAGAACAATCAAATAGATTGTTCTATTCAAGCATTAAATTAAATTTTGCTAGAATTCAATAGATGTTCTTTGATCAATGTATTTATTGTTATAATATTCCAGTATACTAATTGATATTGTAACTCCATTGTTTTTCAATTGCCTGGCTAAAAGTCTTCATAGGTAATACACTTTAAGTGTTGAAATAACTTCTTTAGTTCATTAGCTGGAGTAATGAAGTCCTAATGGACAGTAAAAAATGGCTTTAATGTTTTGATAGAAATTATTAGGGTTTGTTGAATGACTAGAAATTGTATCTAAAATTTTAAAAAATTATAAATTAAAGAATAACTATTTGAGAACTTTTGATAAGTTTCAATATATTACAAATAAGCATTATTAAAACCCTTCATTATTTTGAATTGGTCACAGAAAATGATTTTTTGGATCTGTATGTATTAAGTGAAAAAAAATTGGATTGTTTACCAAAATGTATTGTCTTGTAAACTTCACCAATATTCTGTATTTGAGCTAAAAAAAGAATAAATGAAAACTTTTATTTGTTGCAATAAACTTCAATAACTTGAATTTTTGGAACAATAATTGGTATTTTTGTATCAAATCAGGAATTGCATTAACTTGAGAACTGTGTTAATTGAAACTACAATAAACAAGGTCTCCCCATACTAATTTTATTTATTTAAAACAATTCTAGTTTTATGTCAATTCAAGAATACTGAAAATAATTTAACAGTCTCTGTGAGTTAATTTCTTCTAAAAATTCCGTTTTCTTGACCACTCTTTAATATATTAAAAATTAGGAAATTAACATTTAATAAGATGTATACATTTAGTTCGACGATACATCTTTGACTTTTTCATCAGTTCTGCTATAAAGAGGATGATTCAAAATGTCTTAGACCAGTGTTTCTCAACCTCTAACGAATCGTCACCCCCTTTAACGTAGTATCGCCCCTTCAATAAAACCGTTATGCAGTATCGCCCCCTTTACTATAAATTCCGATGCCGAGGGCCAAGGCTAATGCCAAATTCGTACTGCATTGAATAGACTAGTGACTAGTATAATGTTATTTGTTTAATTATTGTACGTTATAACGAATAAAATATCTAATTATTCTTAATATAATGTTTTACTATATCGCCCTCAAAATATAAATTGTTACTAATCGCCCCCTCAACATGGAAAAACACCCACATGGGGGTGATATTGCCCCCGTTGAGAAACACTGTCTTAGACAAACTTCAAAGGTAGGTCAGGAATTCAAAAACAAACCATTTTTTCNCTTTAGATTCTCCTCATTTAAATTTAAATTATACATTTAATTAATGGTCAAACTAAAATCAAAAAATCAAAAAATGTTGGCAGCTAAGATTTAATTTTTTTTAATGCCTTATTAATGCCAATAGAACAGTGATCTTAAACTTTTATCTCATTATTTTAAGAATAGCTTATTAGATTTTAATTTAAGCATATTTTGTTGTCAATTATTATAACATTTTGTTTTTTTTTCTTTCTTTTTGCTAATGGTAATATTTGTATTTGAATATTTTATTTATTATAGTGTTACTTATATTGAATTATATTTACCACCAATTTAGGATACTACTTGGTGTACTAATACATTAGGGTAGATTGAAAACTTTTTGTATTAGTGTTTACTTAGAAAGATACAATTTTTAATTAAATTAATGCTATTAATCAGTTTACTCTTCTAATCTTTTTATGAAAAGTTCAATAAAGTATTTAAAGAAATACTTTATTGAATGTGATTGTAATTTGTGAATCTATGGATATTTATGTATTTGTTATCATAGTTATTAATCATATCACATTTTTTGTACCATGTAATGAAAATAAAATACTTAAATTTATTTATTTTTTTTGTTGATTTTTTTGTCCAATGGCGAGATTATTATTAATCATCAAAGACAAGTCTGTCCAAAAGGGACCACCATTTATTTTGTATTCCAGACTTTACACATACACATGGTGACAGGCCTTCCTTTTTAGGCTTCATGTCGCCAGAGGTAAAAAAAAAGCCCTTTAAAAACACAAACATCCAATTAAAAGGAATTGGTGATACACAGACGTCTTACTCTTCATCCATCTGTCCAATGGGGTGGTTCTGCTTTATATCTACTAAAACAAGCACTGGAATATGTAGATTTTTTGAAGCTGTCCCCCTGGCGATGGTACGTTTAAAATCTCTTTTTGTTGATTTTTCCGTCCGATGGCGAGATTATTATTAATCATCGAAGACAAGTCTGTCCAAAAGGGACCACCATTTATTTTGTATTCCAGACTTTACACATACATAGATTCCTTTTAATTGGATATTTGTGTTTTTTAAAGGGCTTTTTTTACCTCTGGCGACATGAAGCTTAAAAAGGAAGGCCTGTCGCCATAGAAGTGTATGTGTAAAGTCTGGAATACAAAATAAATGGTGGTTCCTTTTGGACAGACTTGTCTTCGATGATTAAGCTTAAATTTATTTTATTATAATGTTATAACATTTTAACATTAATTTGTTATCTCATTGCATAACTAAGTTAAATCTTTCAGTTGAATGTAATATTATGACAGCATATTATTTATTTATAGTATTATTTAGCAGCATATTATTGTATAAATACCTGTTTTGTAACATATATCTGTTCAGTTTGAGTATATAAACAAATATATTTGTATGAATAACAGAAATCACAAGTTATGTTATAAATTTTTGCTTATACATTAGAATGTGCTTATTGTAATCAGGGATATTGTTATGTGAATTCTTACAACATTAGAGGACTGATATCTCATAACATGTAAGTTAAAATACACTTATGAAACCATGCTTATTGTAATCAGATTTTCAGTTATAGGACTATGGTTTTTCAGATTGATAAGCATTTTTAAGTTGTCTTTTACCACGACCACCATATGGCTACTAATGTGCAATCATTATTCAATTCAAACTATTGCAGTAATTGAAAAAACCAAAACAAGATAGACACAACCATAGAGGAATCTTAAACTATTTCCAGTAAGCATTTAATATGAGAAAATTCTGAATATCATTTTTGATCTGCTTAGGAGATATTTGTCAGATCAGAATATTCCAAAAAGCATTTCATAAGCAGATCAAAACTGTTAGTGAGAATTTTTTCATATTAAATGCTTTCTGGAAATAGCTTAAGTTTCCTCTGTGGTGGTGTCCATTTTGTTATTCAGTTATCAGTCTTAACTAGTGCTTTAAATGTTAAAATATTAATTGTTTTAATTAATTGTTCCCAGTTTAAATTGCTGCTGCCATTTCTTCTTTATTTATATGCTTGCTAGTTTTAAATACACAATTGCAAAGAAATGAGTAGACAAACAGCACCAAATTAATTACTATTAATTATAATTAATTATTTATAATGATAAATTTGTCTAAACTGATAGTGATAACAGTCAGTTTAGACAAGTTTATCAGTATAGACAAAGTTCCAAAATGAATACAAAATAAATGGATATATAAAGATACAATGCTTTTAAGCTAAATTGTATATGTATGTCGTCTTGGTGGAAATGATGAAAAATATAAATTGATATAGAAAAAATTTTCAGTAAATAAGATTCTTTTTTTAATTTGGTTTTTAAAATGAATAATAATGTTAATAATAAAAATATATATTAATTTATTACTTAATATTTATTTTATAGCAACTGGATTTAATAACACCATTTCAACTTTATTTCAATCCTGAAGCTGTTATTAAGAAATATCAGGTAGGGAAATATTATTTAAATTTGATTTTCACTACAATATACATACAAGGTCTGTTCAAAAAGTATCAGACCTTTGGTCGGCAAAAATAAATTTATTGACTTTGAGGTACAAAACCCTAATCCCCTTCAAAGTAGTCTCCTTGGTAATGTATACACTTCTCCCAGCGTTCCTGCCATTGCTGGAAACACTGCTGGAACGCATCTTTTGGAATGGTCATCAGCCGGTCCGTCGCATTTCGCATGATGTCTTCTCTCGACTAAATTTGGGTTCCTTTTAGCGGCATTTTCAGCTTGAGAAATAGCCAAAGGTCACACGGAGCCATGTGGAGAGAGTACGGAGCGTGACGAACCACAGGAGTATTGTGTTTGGCGACGAAAGCCCGAATCAGATGCGCAGAATGGGCGGATGCGTTATCACGATGGAGCTGCCAAGTTTTGATCGACCACAGATCCGGTCGTTTGCGTCGCACTGTATCGGAAAGACGACGAAGGACCTCCTGGTAGTACTCCTTTGCGATGGTTTGGCCTTGTGGTGCGTACTCACGACACACCACCCCACGAGAGTCGAAAAAACTGTCAACATGACCTTTGATATTGCTGCGGACCTGCCGCGCTTTTTTTGGCCTCGAGGATCGTCCCCGAAAGCCTGCTGAATCTTGCGAATGGTTTACACTCGGGTATCGCCAAGGTTTTTGGCAAAATTTGATGTAATATCGCTGCTCACGTTGTTCAGTCATTTTCCAGCTTAGTGAAATCCGACGAGAGCACACTACATGACCTCACTCATACGCCGATTGCCAACGACTGACGCTTCCTGCAGGCGGGAAAAAATTCAGGGCTGTGCATGACTGTCCCCTCCACAACTCCATCGAAGGAAGCCTCTCTTGCATCATTGGTTTACGCAGAAAAAAAAAGGTCCGATACTTTTTGAACAGACCTTGTATAAATAATTTATAAAATTAAAATTTTAGTAATCAGCAGAAGTTTTTCATATTAGTCATTTTTTAATGTCTGAAAACTATATCCAGAGTTTTAGAATTACTTTACTAAAGTTTTTATTATCTACTGAATTTAAAATTTAGATTGATAAAATAAAAATTAAACTTTAGTAAACTATTTTCTTATATTATAACATTATTTCAAAATTAATTTTATTTCATAACTGAATTTCTTTGATGTTGTATATTAATTGTGCCAATAATTACCAAAAGTAATTTTTGGCATAAAAACTAGCTTTTATTTTTAAATTTCATTTATATATTTTTAGCTTTATAAAGAAGTTGTATTGTTTTAACATATGTTCACTTTATAACATACCAAAATATTTTCATCACATTTTATATTTAATTTATTTCTTAATTAATAAAAAGTTATAATTTATAAACATTTTATCACCTTTAATTTTCATGTATTTAATTTGTTTTTATTTGTATGGCTATTTGTTTTCCTAGCAAGAATCTGGGTTTATTCTGCTATTCCTAATCAATTTTATTCTGTCATTAATACTAATATATTTTTTTTGTAGATATAATATGTACAAATTTTTCTTGTTAAGATGGCAATAAAATAGTCTATATGAGACTTATCTGTTACTGAGCTTCAAAGTAAAGTGATGCAGCAAATGCAATAAAATAGCCAATATATTTAAATAAGTATTAACACTGGAACATTAAAGATACTTGCTAAAGACTGGATTTTACAGATCTCCAAGACTTAAATTTCTAATGTGCTCGCAAAGACCATGCAAGATGCATGATTTCAGTAAACACAGTATAAACAATCTTCATAGATCTGTGATTTCAATTATCAAATCAATGAAATTGTTTGATAGATCAATTTTAGATCAGAAAAGTAAAAAGTTATAATGATTTTAAAAGTTAATTTGAAATGCATTGATAAAATAAATTAAATTTTGTTCAAAAAGGAGAAAAAATAATATAAATATATAAACAAACACTCTTGTTACACTTTTAACTCCCGCAATAATTAATTTTATTTGTGGGAAATGTTTAGTCTTAAATTTAATGGCCATTGTCAGGCTATAAAAAAGGAAAACAACAACAAAATTCTTAATCCAGTAGAACAAACTTCAGAATGTCAGTTCAAATTGAATCAATATTCAAACTTTAGAAAACTTCAATTAGTATTTTTGGAATTGTGATAATATCTTTACAGTTGTCTTAATGATGTTATTTTAAAATTTTTCCTGATAGGGCTTATAAAAATTAATCCAACCAAAATAGAAAAAAAACTTCAACCGATTTTCATATACATCATGGTATTTCGTAACATTCTATCCAAGCAAACAAGACAATTACAGTGTCTTCTGAATTTCTGGATTTACCTTTTGAGAGGCAACTGGCAGCTCTAATTCCTATAATGGCTCAAGAGTCTAATGTTGTATATTGGTCTGATGAGCTTAGCATCCTTCATATCTATTTCCACTTACTGTTCTCATGTGTAAGCAGCTAGTGCTGTAGTTACTTTGGCATTGTAGACTCATTCTCCTTGAGTCTAGTTTTGAGGGAATGGGCAGTAGCTCCTGTATATTCCATCTGTTGAATTATTTGGTCCTATAACTAGTATGAGGTACACACACTTCCAGTAAGCACATTGGGTCCTGTGGTTTATTTTCATTCTTCAAGAGTTTAAATACTGTAGGACTTCTTTTCTAATACACTTCATCTCCTGTAGATTTGGCTATTTCTTTGAAAATGTTTTTCAAGCTTTGGTTGTAACTTATAATTTTATATTCCTACAACTGATTATTATGCTTGATGACATTGTTACTACTATGCTCTGAAATTTAACTTTCTGTTACCTTTTGGGAGTACCCATTAGACTCTTGAGACCATTAGAGGAATTAGAGATCTGTAAGTTCTCTCTCAAAGATAAATCCATAAATTATAAAGATATGGGAACAGTCTCATTTGCTTGGAGTACATATTATGAAATACTGTGGTGTATGTGAAAATTGGTTGATGTTTTTTCTCATTAAGCTCTGTGCACATTACATCTCTCCTTTTGGTTGCATTAAGTATTTGCACAATTTTGAATTACTAATAGGAATTTGAATAATTAATCAAATCTAGATATATGTAGTATTCCATTCTCGTGAGAATTTTAATAAGAAGAATATAATTTTAGAATTTTGGTTAGTTTAAAAATTCTTAGATATTTTCAAATTGTTAATCAAAATTTTATTTATAATTCATCTTATAAAAAGTTTGATAATTAGTATAGAGATAATTGTTGTTTTCATTAACCTGCCATTACTCAAGGGTGAGTGCTGCACTCACTTTCATTTTTAAACTCTTGTAACTCAGGATTATTGGAAGTTATGTGGCCAAACTCTTTTCTACCTTTCTACCAGAGTATCTCCTTCAACAAGATACCAGAATTGGAACTAAGTCATTGCTAACACTTTCAGTGCTGCTTTTGTTTCATTTGTGTTGACAAGTTAGTGCAGCTCACACCTGCAAGTAATATTGTCTTTTTTTTACATTCAAAGTAGTATGATTCTAATTGTGAAGTACATATATACAATATCACTATCATAAAATGTCATGAAATGTTCCTGAAATGGCTTGATGAGGAGTCTGAGGAAATAGACTCCTTCCTGCAGACAATGAGAGGTGAGGATCTCCATATGAAAATCCTGGAAGTGTTGAAGAAGAAACCAGATCTTTTTACAGCCAACATCAAGAGGAAAGTGTGCGTATTGCCCAAAAAAGAACAATAGAAAAACAGCATCTAAGAGTGTAACATGTAGCCTACTGCACTGATCTGCAGATAACACATAACAGTCTGCAAATAATGCCATTTTAGAAATCCAGACTAAACAGATTCAGAACTTGAATAGAAATTATAATTAAGTTGAAGAATCATTTCAGATATTGTATTTGTTTTTATAGATCTGATTAGATATCAATTTTCTGTTTCTCTATCAAAAATATTTTAACATATTCTAGAAGGTAAAGTAAAATAAACATTTAAAATGTGTATTATTCATAACTAAACTTCCTGATCTTAGTAAAATTTCTGAAGACAAATCATTAAGAATACAAAAATATGTAGGGTGAGAATTGCGCTCACTCTCGAGTAACAGTATTACAAATCCAACCATGAGGAGTGCTGGGTTAACTTAAATTGATAGCAGAAAAATTAGCAAGTTGTAATTGTTTACTTGGTTCATAATTTTGTTTTACAATTGACACATTTAATTTCTGTAAAGATTTTTTTTTATAAAAAAATTTATTTAATAATCAATTTAATTGTAGTATGCAATTTTTTTTCTTTAGATATGGAGATTATTCACAACATTCCTGTTTTTTGGAACGTTTGGTTTTAATTTTCTCTTCAACATTATATTCACACATCGCTATTGCCGGATGCTTGAAGAAGGCACATTCAGAGGACGCACGGCAGATTTCTTTTTTATGTTTGTGTTTGGAGGAACTCTTATGATAATATCCTTTGCAAAAATTAATTTGATGTTTATAAATTTTTTATAATTGAATTTTTAATTACTTTGTACTTCAAATATATATTTATGAAAACCATTTAATACGAGGCATGTCTGGAAAGTAAGTACTGTTTTGGAAAAACTCGCATAAAAAATCTTTTTGAAAACAAAATTTATTTTTATGTGGAAGAGCATGTCGGAAACTATTTTTCTACATAGTTACCACCATTGTTCAGACATCTGTCATATTGGGAAACCAACTTGTCTATACCTTCTTCAAGAAAGATGTTGCCAGTGAAGACAGCAGTGCTGAACATCGGTTGTTGTGTGGTCATTGCTGGCAAAGCGCCTCCCTCCAAAATCGCTTCAAGTTCAAGAACAAATGGTAGTCTGCAGGTGTGAGGTTGGAGCTGTATGGCAGGTGATCGAACTGCTCCCAACCGAATTGTTGAATAAGGTTTTGAGTGACACCAGCAGTATGGGGACATGTGTTGTCATGAAGCAACATAATGCCTTTACTGAGACTTCCATGCCTTTTGTTTTGAATTGCACGGCGAAGTTTTCACAATGTTTCACAGTATCGTTCTGCATTGATGGTTTCACCTCTGGGAAGGAACTCAACAAGCAGAATGCCCTGTCTGTCCCAGAACACAGTGCTCATGATTTTTCGTGCTGACAACTTTGTTTTGAATTTGTGTCTTGTTGGGGACCATGAGTGCCTCCACTCCATTGACTGTTGTTTTGATTCTGGAGTGACATGACAAACCCAAGTTTCATCACTGGTAACAATTTTGTTTAGGAAATCATTACCCTCTTCACTGTATTGGGTAAGAAATGTCAAAGCACTTCCAAGTCGCTTCATTTTGTGGACATCTGTAAGCATTTTGGGAACCCAACGGAACACAATTTGCAATAATTTAAGTGATTTGTGACAATCTCATGCAAAACAGTTTTTGAAATTTGTGGAAACTTTGTCACCAAGCAATCTTATTGTGAACCGTCTGTTTTCAAGAATTTTCTCATTCACTTTTGCAACCAAACCATCATTGACAACAGGAGGCTGGCCACTCCGTGCTTTGTCATAAACATTGGTGCATCCAGCATTGAATTGTCAAACCCACTTTCTCACCATTCCATCACTCATTACATTTTCACCATAAATCAAGTTGACAATGAATTTCAACTGGCTTAACATTCTTTGCATTCAAAAACCATATTACAGAATGCACTTCAGTTAGCAGGATCGGCAATCGTCGTAAACATTTTGAATGCTCACTAACATATGGAAAAACAACACAATCTGGCTGTAATGGTGTCATTGGACTGATGATCAACCAGAGACACTTGTGCACAGGCACTGAACTGCGATACTACCGCTGCAGTGGTGGTAGAACGAAACAGTACTTATTTCCGGACATGCCTCATACTAATCAATTATAAGTAATGATTTTTTTATATTTAGCCACTTCATATTGTCAAAATATCAATTACTATTTGTTTAAGTTTCAATAATATGTAACAGCTGTTTTATTTAAAATACATTGGCTAGCAAAATTCTACAATGTTTTAAAGAATTTAGTAATTTGTGTATTATTATGTATAAATGATATATTAGATGTATTATTATTATTTGACAATGCTCTTAGTATTTCTCTTTTGTAAATAATTTAAGATCTAACATAACTAAACACCAACGATATGCCGAAAATCTATCGGGCTAGTATTAGGCTAATTACTAAATAAATTACGTAACGAATTTGTCTCTAGAGGTAGGCGTTAGGCACCTATCTCTAGAGACATGAATGTGTCCCCAGCCGGCGTTGTAATAACCGTCGATGGTTATATAGTTAGCTTATATACACTGGAAGAGGAGATCGGACTGGAGGTCTGGATAGCATAACTGGCAATGCATCTGCACGGTAAGCAGGAGTTGTGGGTTCGAGTCTTGCTCCAGGCCGATTTTTT